CTCTTCCGATCTCCCCAAAACCCCAAAACCCCAAAACCCCGCAAGTGTGGGATTGAAATGAAAAAGTTCTAAAGTAAAATTCAATTTAAAATTTATGAAGTAAATTAATTAATAAATAATTTAATATAAATATGTTAAGTAAATACTAGCAAAAGCTCTGTTAACTAAATAATAACTTCATTAGAGCAGGATTTTCAACTCATTCTCATCCAAAATTTGATATTCAAAGAGCAGCTGATAGATCTATTATATTAACTCCTAAACTAGCACCTCATAAGTATTCCTTGATTTGGTTGCATGGACTTGGGGACAGTGCTGCTGGATTTGTTGATGTTTTTCTAGATGAAAATTTTAATCTCGTCCCGAAAAATTGCAAGGTCCTACTATTAACTGCTCCTTAAAGAGAAGTTACTTTAAATGATGGAATGATGATGAATTCTTGGTATGATATATCAAATATAAGAGGAGGTAGACCTAAGTCAATGGATGAACTGTATCCAAAATATAATCAGGAATAGTTAATGGAGAGTGTAGATATTGTAACCAAGCATATAGAATCAGAAATTAAACTTGTTGGATAAAGTAAATAGATATTTTTAGGGGGATTTTCTTAGGGTTGTGCACTTGCATTAGCTACATTTCTTAAATATGATAAGTTATTAGGGGGTATTATCGGGTTAAGTGGAATGAATGCGCTTAAATTTGATTTAAACAATGCCCCACTTTACGAGGAAAAGAAAAATACACCTATTTTTCTATATCATGGAGAGGCAGACAATATGATTAATTATCATGTAGCATAGCTGTCATATAAAGAAGTTTTTGATTAAAAATTTAATGCAAATTTGACTCTTGAAAGTGGAATGGAGCATACTTTAAGTGAAAAAGAGCTTAGGCTTCTATAAAAGTTTATTCATAATCAGATGCCATGATTTAATAATTTATTTTCTAAAGGATTCCCTTATTTTACTCACTCGGGGTTTTGGGGTTTTGGGGTTTTGGGG